TTTTTTTTTTTTTTTTTTTTGGTTCTTCTAATCCTTCAGAAATGCTCTATCCATCCCATTTTCAATAAGGTACTCAATGTCTAAAAATTCTGCAATTCTTGCTACTCTGAGTGTACTTGTGGTAGATGGGCAGGTTGAGAGTATATAGAGAATTGGGGGGAGCCACTGATGAGAAGCTCTCTGTGCAAAAGGGCATTGCTGTATAACACTCCAAGAATTTTCAGTCATAGAAAAAAGCTCTGTCACATAGATCTTGATTGGTTGATTCAAACACTATTAACCCTGTTTTGGACTCATATTTCAAAGAGCAGACTTTCTCAGCCCAACAGTTTTTGGAACTGTTAGCTACATCCAGCTGTCTACTTCCTTAATTTAGCTATATTACATCCTGGAAAATTATACCAGAGGCCATATGAAAGGACAAATAATGATTGATAGTTAACTAGAAAATGAGAAGAAAGCTCCCTGTTCTTATTTGGTAGTGGAATTAAGAAACATATTTTCCTTATACCACTATTCATACAAAAACTTTGAAAAATTATTTTCTTTAAATTATGTTTTAAAATGTGCAGGCACTAGATTTTTTAAAGAATAGGGGCTATAAAAAAATTACAGGGCCTAAATAAATTATGGCCCCAATTCTAAATATAAATTTACTTTTGTAGTACAAAAGTAAAAATTTCAAAACTAGAAAGGTTTATCCTGAACTTTTAATTTATATGAGCAAAATACATGAATAGCAAATATGAGTGTATTTCTTACCATGTGAACACCTTGTAATACACAGTATGTTTTTATGGAGGTATATGTCCCCCAAACCCACATATATACTATACATATATGGTGCTATCAAAAGGTTGGATAAAGTTGAAAAGTACATTTGAATTTGAAAATATGAATAAAATGGATGGAGCTCCACAGAATTCACAGTGCATTGCAATCCAAAACACTGGAAAATCCTACAGTGTCTAACTGGGTCACAGAAAATCCTTTGAAGCTTCGTTACTAATACTGATGCTCTTGCACCTAATGCCACAGTATTACATTTTTGAAATTATCAGGTGATAAAAACAGCATAATTTTAAAGTGCTTATTTTTAAGTACAAATATCGAAAGAGGTTGCTTATTTCATCAGACTCAGGAATTCTCCAGATCTCATGTGTATAGTTGCCTAGGCTGTATGAATAAATAAAAAATTTTTAAAATACAGTTGGCAGACTTCAAACCTTTTTAATTTTATGTGGTTATGTATTTAGAAGTAAATTTTTTAGGAATTCCAAAAATTAAAATATAGCAACAAATTTAAACTAAATGTTACGTACAGTTTATTTCATGATTGATTTGAAGATGAGTAGACTAAAGATTGCTGTTTGTATTTTGGTTTAGGACATTTTTGACAGTGATTGGTATACGTCTCGAAATCTAATTGGGAGTGCTGACATCATTGTGATCAAATACAACGTAAACGACAAGTTTTCATTCCATGAAGTAAAGGATAATTATATTCCAGTGATAAAAAGAGCATTAAATTCAGTTCCAGTAATCATTGCTGCTGTTGGTACCAGACAAAATGGTAAGTATTTAATTTTCTTTTTTGTAATGAGTATGCAGGTACCATATTAATTTAAAATAGAGCTAAGTTTATTAACAATGAATACAAGTTGTTTCTGTTTTTTAATAAAAAACCAAAATGACTGTGGGATCAAATGCCAGCTGTTATCTATTCATCATTTGAAATGATAACAAGGCATCAAAGGAGAAAATCACAAACTTCTGCTGTGATTCTGATGGGCACAGATCTGTCTTCTAAACTGCTCTTCTACAGTAGTGAAGGAAGTCAGTAATGGTGTTCTTTTGCCATATGAGAGGCATTAGGCTGAGCCTCTTTTTGACAATCTAAAGGTCTACCCAACTGGGAAGGATAGATTATCCACATAAAAGATGTAGGCTTGGCAACAGATTTTTAGGTGGATAATAACAAGTGAACTGAAAACACTGACAACGCTGCCTAAGAGAAAAGGTTGTTTACTTCATGTTTGATGGATTCATTCAGTTCAGGTGGTTTTAACCATTGCTGCTATGCATATTGTCAAATATCTCAGGACCAACTCAGAATTCACTTTGAATTGGTGGTATTTTACAGATCTTCTTAGTGGTGTTTCCTTAGTAAAGCTGTCTTTAAAGTTTTATTATTATTCATTAATTTTTTAACTTTTTTTTTTTTTTATCTTTTTCCATGTCCGGCAACGGATCGCAACCCTCCGTGTTGCCCCCGTACCGGACCGGGG